GAGAGCGAGAGAGGAGAGAGAGAGATAAAGCGAGAGAGGAGAGAGAAGATAGAGAGAGAGCGAAATGGAGGCCACGAGAGGGCACTTAGAAAAATTTGTTATGGAGGGAGAGCAGAGAGTGCGATTGGGTGGCTGAGTGGCGAGCCGGTTGAGTGGAAGCCGATTCATTTTTCAAATGGGATATGCAGCTCACTCTATGTCCATACACGTGTCCGGTTCACATGGCGCAATCAGGTGTCGACCGTCTGCTTTCATCGTTAGACGGTGGAGATGTCGGTTCTTGCTCAAATGTGTATGGCAAATTGAGGAGCCATAATCTCATTTTTAACATCATCATTAACCAACCCTATCACATTTAACGGGATCGGTTATATGAATTATGTTGGGCTGTTTCGTTCCATTAGGGCTATTCATGGATGGCTTATAATAATTTGTACCTCACACGTTACAGGTAACGTGTACCATACGAGCGCGGCTTTTCTTTTTTCGCAATCAAACTCTCTCTCTACTCAAAATGTCAACGATAGCTTTAAAATATATTTTTATTTTTATTCATAAAATTTAAAATTTTAAAACTAATGCAGATCGAACGTATCTAAAAAAACTTAAATTTTTTTTAAAATTGATGGTCCAAAAATGCATTATCAGATGCAAAACTTGAAATCTATTTTTTTTCTCTCATGTTTATGCATCTTGAGTCGAGATGATCAATTTCAGGATATTTGGGCATCAAAACAACATCTTCCAGTTTAAATTTTGAGGTGTGCCCTAATTTATTGTTTAGAGCTTCGAACTTATATAAATTTTTCCAAGCCTTTCCTAAAAATCTTATAAAAATAAATAAATAAATAAATATGCAAGAAAATATTTTGTTAAGGCATTTTATACTATAAGACTATTTATCTTTGGTACAAAGAAGTTATAATTATTCTTAACCATTAAGTGTCAAATTGGATGGTTTGAAGTGTGCCACAAATTTTTTTTTTTTTGAAACTGAATCCAGTCAATAACATGTTCACAACCACTCAATTAGACGTCAACAAAATAAAAGTGATTGTGACCTCATTATGCTAAAAGCAAATTATCTTTTGGTATACTTTTCCATTTGTTAAAAGAACAAGTTTATATAAGGTTACAACATTAAAATGTAGAATTAAGGTGCACTTTAAAAAATCCATCATAGAAGGTTGTTTTTATATTGAGCAACCCTCTAGTTGATCATCTCGATGTCGATATGTATGAATATGAAAAGAGAAAGAGTTTTTGAGTCCAAAAAATATTGTATCTCACAACATATTATATGGACCGTCCATTTTCTAAATTTTCAAGCGGTAATAGATCTACTTAATTCGAACCATTTTTGGAGTTTAAGATTTATAAATAGAGATGAAAATAGATTATCAAGCCATTATAAGAATTCTTAACACCAAAATTACATTTATGACAAAATTTGGAAGTGGGCTTTAATTTGTTTGTTTAAGGTTGCATACCACACCTTTTGTTAAAATATACAAAGCAGACTAATCTTAACCGTTGGATGTGAAATTGGACGGCTATAAATATCTTAGTAACCAAACTCAGTCTCAAAAAGAAATTTTTGGAACTTCATGATGCACCCTAGGCCATGGATTTCACGTTGGGACCTTGGTGGGCCAGATTTAAATAGTCTTCTATATCGATTCTTTTCCATATATATTTTATTTTGGGATTGAAATTTTTTTAACATGCACCTCCAATTATAGTGTTATGAAGTCAGGATCCCTCAATAAAAATCATTATCACATGTTGCAAAGATTTTCATGGCAATAATATTACGTTGCGTCCAAAGGAAAAATGACAAAAGTATCTTTAGGGAAAAGCTTATTTTTTCTTTATGGTAAGTGGAAAAGCTATTTTTTATAAGTGAGAAGCCTACACTTGTCTTTTCGAAAAAAGCTCACATTTCATGACGTATTTGATTTATGGAAACTGTTCTAAGGAAGTAGATCTCCTAAGTTTTATGGTCCCTCATGGTGTTGGTATACACTTTTTAGCCTTAAATATAAAGATACTTTACTGTAAAAACTTCACCCGTTATCAAATAGGGAAGTGCTACTACAATCAAACATATTGTTAGAGAATCAGAGCTAAGCTGAAGTGCTACAACAATCAAACATATTGTTAGAGAATTAGAGCTAAGCCCTTACTCTTTTGCCAAAAGATATTATACTCCTGTGCAAGTATAATGTTCATTTACTCCCTTGGCTAAAACCCATAGCTATAGATAAGTTGAAATAAAAGAATTTCCTTACTGCACCTTCACAGAGATCGTCTAATTTTTAGATAGTGAGGTCCAAGTGTTAGAAAACTCAAATTTCAAAATTTTTCCAATTATCCGATGATTCTTGGGTGGTTTCCAAATTTGTATATTTAATCTCCCAAGTAGGTCTTACGGTCGAGGGAACAAATGTACATTATGCTTCCCTTGGACCATAATATTCACGCTCTACTCTTTTAGAGTAGGGAAAATGTTTGGTGAGTTAAGGGACCCATAAACTAAAAAATTTGGAATTTATTTAGTTCGTTATATTGACGATCCTCATCATTCGACACCGGAATCCGACAAAAGCTTCGGAGACTTTGAGTTAAGGGGGGCCATCATGGACCCCGATTATTGATCCCTAAAAGATTGGATCCAAAATCTATTTTTAAGATCAATCTTGGAGGGGGATGAAAATAAGGGAGTCAGCGGACTCACCAAAACCTGGTCCTTTAACTGCTTTTAATTAGGAAATCCCTCTTCTAGCGACTTATGAGATGAGAACCAGGGTTTTCATATAAAGTTATCAAGTTGCTTTTCAAAAAATGCTTGTAAATTTGTATTGCAATTGTCTTTCTTGGGCATTTCATTAGATGGTTTTTTCATGAAACAAACATGGGAAAGTGATGTAGTCAACAAAATTCTGTCCTTCAAACAGAGATTGTCCATTAAAGAGTCGGGCATTTTTAAAGTACAAAAAACCTAGTGCATTTAGTGTAAGGCATTCCTTTAAAAGTAAAGCCGCACCTCAAAACCCCATGCACAAATAATTTGCCAATAACCATGTCACGTATGGGTATTAGTATTTACCAAGTCGAGATTATTATGCTCCTTATTGTTGGCTCATCATATGAAATCTAATTAAAATCAAATGACTATCTTTTGTCAAAAAAATATCATATGATTGTCAAACGCGATACACATATTTTCATCGTAATTATTATCACGATCAAAGCCTTTTTTCAATTAATTGAGGTAAGCTACATGAATCATGATCCGTCTTTCTGTTTTATCAAGGGTCATATCCATAAGTCATTATGTTTTTTCTCACCGCTGCCAACTATGTCATTTTGAGTCTAGCTTTACTCTTTTTGAGCATTCCACTTGAACTAACTCTCAACTCCTAACATGTGATGTACTGAGTTTGCGCTACACATGGCCAACCCACCTAATCCTACTCTCTCTCATCTTATCGTTTATTGATGCCACACCTAAAATTTCACGAATATATTCCTATAAGGATACTATCTGGTCCTAAAGCCTGCTATCTTCATGTTTTTCAAAGCTTATTTTACTTCTGATATCCTAATCTTACGAATGTATCTATGACCCCCGCCCTTATTTATGCTAATGGTTCACTCTACCACTATGTTCCCATTATGTTCGTCATTTAATAATTTTTTAAAATAAATTCTCCACCAAGACTCTTTGATCCTTACCCCAATATCAATTATCCTTCCCGTTAGCCATGGTGTAGTGAGACTCGAGCCCAAAACAATTCCTCAATTATTGGTAGTTAAGAGGCTATATCAAAATTCCATTTCCCTCCACTCGACTAAAATCGTTGTTTTCAACAACAAGGTTCTCGAAACTCGTAACAAAAACCCGATTTCCAAGGTTAAAAAAACATAGACTTGGACTGTTGTTCTCGAATCTGATATCGACTCGGACGAGTATGTCGGGGATTCAATTGAGTCTCTACAAATTATACTACTAAAATATAAAAATAGGCCAAGTATGGCCGGTTTTTGCTCGAGTGTCAGTCGTGTTTCAAAACCCAGATCGTTGGGATGAATCATTCACCCAAAAACTCTATGATAGATCACTAGCTGCACGTCGTCTGGACATCTAATATTCGGTCTGGCAATTGTTTCTCTGTCTAGGCTGTCGGTTCGGCAAAAAGAAATGCGATCAGGCACTAGGTGCCCTCGGTCCGGCAAATTTTTGATGGGATCCGGCAATTGTTTTATATGGTCCAGCACGTGATGACTTCGGTTCGACGCGTCCTTACATCGGTTTCGCATGTCTTTACGTTGGTCCGACAATTGTTTACTATGGTTCGGCAGTCAATGTTTGGTTGCGTATTTTAGGAGAATGTGATGCGAGTTTATACAAACAAGAGCATTTTGATCTAAATAAATATAACTTTTTGACTTGGGGAGTATTTGCCAGAAATATATTTTTTGAGGTAAAAGTTGCAAAAAAATTGGTTAGGGGGAGATTATATAGAAAATCCAAATTTGGGGGATATTTCATTATTTCTCTTTTTTTTTTTTTTTGAAATCAGTTACTATGTATAAATGAGGGTTTTTAGGGAAAACGAGACCAAGACTTATACCATCCCAGAACCGATTTGATCCCATATAGATAGAAAATCTAGATCGAAAATCTCCAAATTTTAAGACACTGAGTCGAGTAATCAAACAAGTGAGTCCAAGCAGGCTCGCTCAAGTTTTAGAGCCCTTCTTG